CACCCACGGCTCGTGCCATCATGCATCGAGAACTTACGCGTCAAATGTCATCATTACACGCCAATATATTTCACTAAACGTCACCGTCAGCCATGACCAACGCACCGCTGAATGCAGGCCTCCCCAAGCTCCCGTCATCTCTCGCGATCCTACGACTAAAAAATCCACCTCTGCTTTCCGCACACGAGCACGCACGAGCTCACCTCGTCACAACATGCGCACGACGTACGTGCGTGTGCGTTTAACTTCTTTCGCACCGTATGTAGCCAACCGCGCGAGTCGCCACGATGAATGAGAAAACGACTTTGATCACTTTTAAAATGAGACGGCCGGGTTATGAATTACATCTGCAAGTGGGCCGGTATAGCCAATTAGGGATATTAATCACACCCGCCCCTACACCGCACCCCTCCTTGAATGGCAGGGTTGGGTTGGGGGGGCAGAAGGCGGTGGGGGGGGGCAAGTCACTATGAACATTACGCTGGCCCACTCAATGCAATTACATGGAGCTTTAATCGTTATGAAATGCCATTAGGGCCGCTCTGCACCGTGTCCGAATGAACGCGTGGAAGAAGGTGTGAATGGTCCCCCCATGAATGGAACAATCAAGGACCGTGAGGCGCAAACTGGGAAGAGTGCGTCACTGATAACTGCAGCGATACAACTGCGCGTACTCTAGTGGAACGAGTGGACTGCTGCACTCAGCTACCCAGATACAACCACGTGGGCTCTGGTGGAACGAGTGGACTGCTCCACTCAGCTACCCCAATACAACCACGTGGGCTCTGGTGGAACGAGTGGACTTCTCCACCCGGCTACCACCCCCCCGGATGCTGCTGTGGAATGGCCTACAACAACATTACACGTAACAATTGTAGCCCCCTGCTGCTTGTTTTTTTCAAACACAATACAAAAGCAGAACAATGCTAAATTACCATTTGTGCCGTCGTTGCTGGCATTAACACTCAAACTATTAAACTGTTTTTTTATTTTACAAGGTAAAGCCCACTGAGCTATATAGTTCTTTTTAAGAAGCGACCTGGCCGCAAATGATAGCTCAACAAAGTGGCGTATCATGTGGAAATACTCTAAACGCATGTTTATAAATGTGGACGGACAAACCGGAAACCCCGGAGAAAAATCCACGCGACCACGGGGAGATCATGCAAACTCCAAATATACAGCAGCAGGCGTCAGGGTCGAGATCGAACCCGCGACCTACCAGGCGAGGTAGTTAACATCTCCTAGCCACCATGATGATGATGATGAGAGAGAGAGAGAGAGACATGCAAACTCCAAATATACAGCAGCAGGCGTCAGGGTCGGGATCGAACCCGCGACCTCCTGTACACCAGGCGAAGTAGTTGACATCTCGCCACCGTGGCGCCCACATAGGTATTAAACCTACAGTGATAAAACAAAACATCCACTTCCCCGGAAGGCTATACGGCTGACGTAATGTGTACAAAAATATACATCCTGTAAACGCTAGTATTTGTCTTAAGTGGAGGGACATATATGGGAAGGAGTCGTATTGTCTGTCGATTAATTGCTAAAAGTACCGTACTGTAGTTTATTTTCAGGACAAGACAAATAGACCTACAGCACAGCGGCGGCAGCAGCAGCAGCAGCCTGTTGGACAAAGTGTTCCACTGTACAGGAATGAAAAAATGGCTCATTAGAATTAGAATATTTATTAAGACCGGAGAAATCCGGTAAGCTATGAAGCTCTTTTTCACAGAGGTCCAGCAGGACACATCCTTTTCATTGGCACTGAGATTTGAGTTCTACAGAAAGCTGGAATTTAAACAAAGGATCCTGAGACCAGAGACGGAGTGGTGGTGGCCAACGGTGTAAATATATAGCATGGCCGCAAGAAGGCCCATTGACACCGTACGTAGCCAACCGTGCTAATGGGGGGTGCGGCGGAAGGACGACAAAAAATCGGTACAAAATAAATGAGTTTTAAATGTCGATTATTTAAAAGTGCATAGCTCTAGTGGCTTCCCGATATCGGAAGAGCTTTCCAGACAGCCGCGGAAGCGCATCTGAAAGCGCCGCGCGATGCGGTGACCGTCTTTAGACCGTGGGGAGATCATCGTGATTGGGCTTGGAGAGGCCTTGATCTAACAGTTGGATAGTCCCATGGGATGTTGCCTATCAACAACAAGGCAACTCCTATGACTAATTGGGAATGGGACGCAAGCGTAGGATTGATCACCCTGTCGCTGGCCGCCTTTGGGGAGGGTGTATAGTGTGAAAGGCCGAAACACCCTAGGACCCAAAGGTTCACTACTGACGATGCGCTCCCAAAATTTCACCAGGATCACTGTTCATAAACTCTTGGAAGTGCTTGCACAAAGGATAGTAACATCTCATCCGGTGTTCTTGGAATCTAAGTCCAGACAGCCGAGGAAGCGCATCTGAAAGCGCCGCGCGATGCGGTGACCGTCTTTAGACTGTGGGGAGATCATCGTGATTGGGGAGGCCTTGATCCAGCAGTGGCTAGATCACAGACTGGTAATGACATGCACACAACACGCTCATCAGTGGTGATCCCCCACCCCCGTTATTCTATTAAGTCAAGATCCATTGCCGCAATTCCATTCCAGGGATCGGTTCTTTGTTTGAAACGTTTACGGTGAATTGTATAGCGCCACGAGTGGCTCCACGTGTGGCAAAGATCCCCCATGTAGCCTCAACAAAATGTTAGGGAAAGTGTCCCAAGCGCCGATATTTACATACCGCGCCCGGTACTCATTTAAGGCTGAGTCGAGCTCGGGGAGGCACAGGACCGGTTCAAATACTCGTCAACGATGTTGGCCGTGAACGGGAATCGAACTCGGATAGCCCAGTTCGTAGGGGTAGTGCGCTAGCCACAGCGCCCTACGCAGGGAAAATACATGATTTCACTATTCCTCAGCCTTGTGAATCGAATTAATCGATGTCTTCGATGCATTGTTTCGTAAGTACAGCGTCATTGAAAAACAATCAAAACAATCATGTTATGAACATCAATACAAATGCCGGTCATTACTATCACGAACAGTCCAGAGGTTGCTATGTGGTTGTATGTTGAACTTCTTTCGCGTCGTACGTAGCCAACCGTGCAAATCGGAGGTGGTTAGTTGGCTAACAGCGGAGGTGGACAATTTAGCAAACTCCATTGTTGTGTTGTACTTTTCTATGCTCCCCATGTCTATCCATGGCTTCTCACCATCACCAACCCGCACTCATCAACGTTATAATGAAGTATGGTCAAACAATCTCCCCCCCACCACTCGTGGATTAACACGATTGTGTGATCATTTACCTCCAGCCCTTAAGCTTATCAATACAGTCCTTATACTCTTAGTTCTTTCGGTAAAGTCACGTGACTTTACCGAAAGAACTAAGAGTATGAATCCTTGCAGTCACGAAAGCTTCAAATCTAGAATACAGTCCTTGCTGTTAAAACAGTAGCAGTACGTGGTAGCCATAATAAAGGGGTTTGTTGGGTCAGATCACGTAAATATAAATGTGTCGTTGACCCACCACCGACACCCGACACGGCCAATTAGTAAGGTTTGTCACATAAACAAAAAGTGCCAGTTAGTTACTACTTCAGCACACCGGTGTGTTGGAGAGTAAACCCACGATGCGTGCAATGTGAGAACCGTCACGTTTCGCTGGCGAATACAACAACCGGCTTCATCGGTCGGTTTGCCAGAATTGTGAGGACGTCTTCCCGTTTTGGTCTCAAGTAAGCCGCCGTGTTAAACTAAAGTACGAGGTATCAATAAACCAGTTCTCGCTGCTGTCGTATACGAGTCAAAATAAATCAGAACTTAGTACGTTTTGGCAGTCGCGCTGTCATTCTTACGGCGCGAGACTACGACGAAGGAAGGCGCTGCTCCGTTATATGAACACAGTCTGCGGTAGTTTCGTGGGGACGATGTTGTTAGTACGCGTGATCCCAAAATGGGAGTAATTGTTGGGAATTCTATCCAATTTGGCCAATTGTTTGGTACGTGATGGTCTCACTCGTTCCCGAATGACGCCGTGGGGTCTTTGAACCGTCCACTTTGAAGCTGACGGCGATCGGCGTGTTCTTTTTTTTGCTACGGCTCGGACGCCCGTGACAATAACCAGGGCTGCCTACCAGATTCGAACCGCGAAACCTCTGCAACAAAGCGGCCCCGAACGCACCGCGTCACTGATGAGGCCACGCTCATCATGGGCGGAGTTTGGGAGGGGGGGGGGCACGGGGGTCCAACGCCCCCCCCCTCCAAACTGGACACCTTTATTAAATTATTTTCTGTAGTTTACAATTAGGATAATAAATCATGTATTTTATGCACTCGCGATTCCTAATGTAAGAGGCAAAGCGAGCCCCTGTCCCCCCCCACACGGCCCCCCATGACGCTCATGCCACAAAGAGCAAAGGATGGTAGCCTTGAGCGGAAAATCGACATTCTCATGACGGGACCCAGTCTATCCATGGGACGAGGCGTCGTGTTATATAATGATTTTTTTGGTTAGAAGATGCAATGCACGTGATGATGATGATGAAGAACGATGACGGATGATGATGATGATGATCACAGATGATAATGATGCAGACGCCCGTCACTCGACGATGGTAATGAGAACTGTCAACGTTGCTGACACATGACTCGGGTGATGGTGGCGATGATTACGATGATGACGATGGTGGTGGTGGCAATGATGATGATGGTTATGACGAAGGTATATAATATTGGATTACAAAATTAGAGTGATTACGATAGCTGTTGATGCTAATAGCGATGGCGATGATGCTGCTGCTGGTGATGATGATTGTGTTAACGATGGCGGTGATGGTGATGCTACGTATAACCGTGATTATGAAGACGACGTCGACGACGACGATCGATGACAAATTAATCTCACCCACGCGCATTTAATGACAGACGAGATCCTTACTTAAAAAGCCCCATCAGTGAACATCAATCAGCCCGTGCGAGCACTCACTCACTCACCCTTGCCAAGAGACGCGAGCCGGCTTCTCGTGGCCGGTGTTGGGGCGGATTAATCCTCTGCGAGCCGAGGCCTCTTTCCGATCTCCTCCGATCTCCCCGACTGCCATCACCACCACCACCACCGCCACCCTCCGTAGCACGAGCGGAGTTCGCGCGGATCAGCCGCAACCGAGCATCCGCAGCGGCTGCGCCGGTGTGCCTTTAAGAATGACCATTTGCGATGACTATTCACGTCTTACAATGGCAAACGGTGACTGTGTGTGTGTATATATACAATGCATACATTATAATAATTACACAATCTCTTTACACTATAGACTGTATACGTGGCAATATACACTAAACCACACCGCTGCCGTTTTATATACCGAGTGTGTACTGTATAAAATATTGGATTACAAAATTAGATAAAAATTTTCCGCTTGTATATGTATGTATAACCTTCCTTGTGTGTGTTATGTGTGTGTATATAAATGTGCACTCGCAGTTTAACGCAGACATCGGTAACGCGTGTGTGTCTCTCTCTCTCTCTGCGAATCGAGCTGTCATTAACAAAGCGGCTACGTGCGACATTTAACAACACTCGAGAAAACAACACACACACAACAACACAACAACAGGCACAACAACAACACACCACACAACAACCACCATAGTGGCGATGCCTAGGGGAAGAGCGGAAAATCCATCCCTTCGCTGCGCCCAGAGAGAGAGAATCAGCGAACACTCACGCCGCTTGCTGCTGCTGCTGATGTTGGTGGTGGCGGTGATGGTGCTGATGATGCTGCTGCTGATGATGTTGATGCTGATGCTGTTGGTGGTGATGATGGTGCTGATGATGCTGCTGCTGATGATGTTGATGCTGATGCTGTTGGTGGTGATGCTGCTGATGGTGATGTTGGTGCTGATGATGTTGGTGGTGGCGGTGATGCTGCTGATGGTGATGTTGGTGGTGGTGATGATGCTGATGATGTTGGTGGCGGTGATGGTGATGATGTTGATGCTGATGATGTTGGTGGTGATGGTGATGATGTTGATGGTACCGATGATGCTGTTGCTGATGATGTTGGTGGTGATGGTGATAGCGGTGGTGGCGGTGATGCTGATGATGAAGGCTTCCGTTTGTGAGCTTGTACCTCGGTTTGAACCGCGCTTGCAGCTATCTCATTATTCCGACCACCATCATCACCATCACCACCATCACCACCCTCACCTCCTCCTCCTCCACCACCTCCGCGCGGTAGCGACGCGAGCGAGCGACTGAGTGAGCCACAGAGCCCGAGAGGGAGGGGATGCGAGCGAATGGCCGGGTGCCTTTTATTTATTTTGTTATTTAACTGGAAGCAATTATTTGGTTATTTAACTCGGAGCATTTTTTTTCACCCCCCCCCCTCCCACACCCCCCATTCCTACCCCCACACCCCCCTCCCTTACCCCCCACCCTTACACCCCCCCTCCCTTTACCCCCCACCCCTTACATCCCCCACGTCCCACCCCCCCCCACGCCTACACCCCACGCCCTACCCCCATACCCCTTACACACCCCCCCACCCTTACCCCCCTCCACCCCTTACAGCCCCCACGCACCCCCCACGCCCTACACCCCACGCCCCCCCACCCCTTACACCCCCCCACCCCTTACACCCCCCCACCCCTTACCCCCCTCCACCCCTTACCCCCCTCCACCCCTTACACCCCCACCCCTTACCCCCCTCCACCGCTTACACCCCCACCCCTTACAGCCCCCACCCCTTACCCCCCTCCACCCCTTACAGCCCCCCACCCTTACCCCTCCCCACCCCTTACACCCCCCACCCCTTACACCCCCCTCCACCCCTTATAGCCCCCCCCCATCCCTTACACCCCCCCACCCCTTACCCCCCCCCACCCTTACCCCCCACCCCTTACACCCCCACCCCTTACACCCCCCCACCCCTTACACCCCCCACCCCTTACAGCCCCCTCCACCCCTTATACCCCCCCACCCCTTACACCCCCCACGCCCTACCCACCACCCCCCCCCTCCTCTTTTCCCCAAAGCGAACCCGCTGCGAGGCTGAAGGTGTTTGTTGCTGCTGTTGTTGTTTGCTGCTGTTGTTGTTGTTTGGCTGTTGTTGTTTGCTGTTGTTGTTGTTTGGCTGTTTGCTTCGCGGGGGTGGGTGGGTGGGTTTGTTTATTTGTGTACTCTCGCGGTTTTGGTGTGTGTTATGTGTTTGTGTGTACATGTTGTGTGTGTTTGTGTGTACCTTGTGTGTGTGTTTGTGTGTACCTTGTGTGTGTGTTTGTGTGTACCTGTTGTGTGTGTGTTTGTGTGTACGTGTGTGTGTTGTGTACGTCTGTGTTATATACGTCTGTGTTTGTTGTGTTTGTTGTGTGTTTGTGTGTTGAGAGGAAGATGTTTAGTCAGAGAGTGTGTGGGGAGTAACAGATGGAGAGCGGTGCTCGCTAGCAGCACTTGCCCCAAGCAGTCAGTTAAGGCTATACGGGAGATCTTTGCCTTTGTACCCGGTGTGGTGTGTAGCAAACATCGCCACTAGGGGAGACAAAGGCGGCCGGGCGTGGTGCTGGCCACCCACCCCCTCGTGTGCCACAGTGCCGGCCTTCATAGGTGCAGCGACTCGCTACTCAGCACTTGCCCCAACAGTCTGTTAAGGCTACACGGCGGGGAGTTCTTTGTCTCTGTATGGTATTTGTGTGAGTATTTGTGTAAGGGGCCGTCCATAAATGACGTCACGCGATTTTGGACGATTTTTGTACCCCCTCCCCTCGTCACACGGCGTCACAAAAAGTCAGACCCCCCCCCCTCAAATATGACGTCACAAAGCTCTGCCCCCCCCCCCAAAACCACATTCCATTTTGAAAATAAAACATGCTTCAAATCGCTTTAAACTATTGTCATTGTAGTGCGTATTTAATGTGGCGCTGCACTCTGATGTTGTAGGAGTGTTGTTATAACAATTACTGTTGTTATAACAATTCTATATTTATTTTAAGTTTCGCATTTTGATGTGACGTCACATTTCTCACCCCCCCCCCCCCCAGGTGCGTGACGTCATTTATGGACGGCCCCTAAGAGTGAGTCTGTGTATCTATGCGCGCGTGTATATCTTTGAGTGGCCTCAAAGTGCACCTAGCCTGGCACAAGCGCCCCGGTGACGGCACCACCACTTAGTAGCGAATGGCCGTTGTTTCACATGTATCTGTGTGTGCGTGTCTTTGTGCGCTCATGTGTATTGTTGCTAATTATCGGCCATACTTCACCTCGCCGGGTCAGTGCGGTTAAGAGAAGGTGAAGCGTTAAGTGCAGGAGCATAGAAGCGCAGTCCAACAATGGCCATCTCATTAAATTCCCAGAGAAGATCCATCCAACAACGTCAACATCATCATCTCCTGACACCCAAATCTCTGTCCCTCTTCGGTGAAAGCGTCAAAATCATTTGCTGCATTTTGGCATTGGCGGCGTTGCCATTCATGTCAGCACACAGGGACCTGCTGAAGACACTGCTGCTGCTGCTGTGTTTCACACAGACACAGCCTGCAAGTGGTTCCATAGTAGGGGAGGGGGGGGGCAATGCTGCAAGAGTGTATCCCCCCCCCATCCCAAACGAAGTCATTTGGAGTGCAATTTTTCAGATCTGTCAAAGGGTTGGTACGCAAATGGGCCGGCCTCCTGGTTTCGATTGATGTCGCGGGATCTCTCACGTCATGTTGTATATTCGGGTTGAAGTAGTATTAATCGGGGCGGCCTGTCGGATTCGAACCACGCGAAGAACCGCTGGGCCGTGAAATATGATCAAACAACCCCAACACGACCTATGTATATGTGTGTATGTACTGTACGTTGAATTTCTTTCGCACCGTACGTAGCACAGCGTGATAATCGGAGGTGCGGGGAAGGACCTCTGCTTTTGGTTACCTTTTTTTTGGCTTTAAACATACACGCCTATCTGAACCTCACGAGTACCTCAACATAACTCGACACATTAGTCAACATCACTGTGGCCTTACGACGAAAAAAGTACATAGATATAACAGGCGACGTTTCAGTCAATGGCCCTCATCACCCGTGTCAATGGTTGGCATGGGAATGTAATGGGTCAACCCCCACCCTCCTAGCCAATCCCCCACCCTCTCTACAGCCCCCCCCCTCCTCTTCCGGACCCTGGCGCAGTTGCACCGCCTGCACACTCGATAGCCACGCCGCTGCCCAGTGCATTGATTTTGTCTGCCTTATCGATTTGTGTTGGCATGTGTGGTCTAACCCATCAGTCCGTGCTATCGTCGCTTGTTATTCTGCTATGGCTATGACCGGGCCATTGTTCTCCTTATCGTGTGCCTGATGCGGTGTGTAAACATCGCTACTAGGGAGACAAAGGCGGCCTGGCGCGGTGCTGGCCACCCACTCCTTCGTGCGTGATGTGCCGGCATTCATAGGTGCTACTCGCTAACAGCACTTGCTCCTACAATCTGTTAAGGCTATATGGGGGGATCTCGTCTTATCTTGTGTTTAACTGTTGGCTGTACCCCCACAATCCTTCCGTGTTGTGTCTGCAGGATGCGGCCGTGCAGGCAGAGTCATCGATAGGGCGGCACCAAAGCAAAACTAAACGAAACTTTAATTAGTAATTTTTTCCAGGTAAGGTCCACGAAGCTATACAGCTCTTTTTTTCAGAAGCGACCTGGCCACAAATGATATCAGCTCAACGAAGTGGCTTATCACGTGGAAACTTACAGCAGCGGCCAAATACTCTAATAATAACAACAAGAATATAAACAACTACTGCAGCAATAGGATAAGGGTTGTGGATAATAAGGATTATAATAAAAAATAATACAGTCACGGCCAACCCATTTCTTAATCAGTGATGGATGGATGCCTCTCCACACCGTGTCAGTCATGGGGGGGGGGGAGGGTTTTTTTGACCATACTTCACCACGCTGGTCAGTGCGGGTTGGTGAAAGGGGCAGGACCGCTGCTGAGATATAATTCCCTTACTGATGTTAGCCGTGGCCAGAACATCGAACCGGGGTCGTCGCCGGCTTTCGTGACGCAGTGCGCTATCCACTGCGCCGCCGCTCCACCACCTAGCGAGTATTAGCAACGATAAAAGAGTCTCCTTCCTTCACGTCGTGCGGGTCAAGGGGGGTTGATCTGCCACGCCGCTGGTGTGGTATCTTTAATTATATGGCTCGGGTGGA